GCCGGAAGTTTTGATTTGTCTTGCCACTTGGAGGACTGATTCTGGAAAAGCATTCCCTGAAGGGTTACCTTTTTGAGACATTTTTTGCCAGGATTATGGCATGACGTCCGAAATGTTTAGTATTGAGTACATGCGTTGATCCCTTCGTCGTTTCTCATGTTGGTTTTAACAGCAGAGGCGAAAAATTGGCATAGCTAGACAGAATCCTCAATTATTGTTTTTCAGTTTATTGTTCATTTCCTGTATGGTGTGATGATGATTCACATATCATGTGTCTTACAGTTCTAAAGTTTAGGCTGAACTAGGATCATTGTTTTTACTTTAGCACATTGCTGTAATATATGACGACTAATCTTCAGGTTGCTTATTTCGGTAAATCTTCACTGGCGATTTAAATTTTACTAGTGGGCAATTACAGAATTCCCTACAATCCCTATAAGACAACGCAAAGGTGTTTTTTTTAACGGGCGAAAATATAACAAGCAGCATGAATGTATAGTTTTGCTCTGTTGTAACTGATTGATTTGCTTTGGTGAGGATTTTCCTCTTACTAGCTTAAAAGTTAAATAAGTGATTGACTGTTTTGGATGTCATCTAAATATTTTTCGATACAGCACTTGTTTTAGATTATATCGGGTCAACATTCGTTGTAGAAAGGTCCTTCTTATTCAGTTACGTTTAAAACCTTCCTAGACCAATTCTGCTCAGTAGATTGAGCATCCAATTCACGGCTGGAAAATAGTTTGTTCGTGTCCGGGGCGGATTACTGACTTTTCGTCTTTCATAAAACTTCAGGTTAATATTAACTTTAAATTACACATTATGATATTGTAGCTGTCTTCTGGTGAATCCTAACGGCGCAGTCATTAACTGGATCTGTAGCCGTACGAATCCCTTGTTTTGATCATAGGCATATGAACGACTTGCCCAATATGTTACATTTTACTGCTTACAAGTTTGTGTCTCATCAAAACGACAGCCTACACAAAATTGTTTTTTCTCTAACGGAATGCCAATGGCATTTGATGAACTCCAGATCTATTTCGGCCAAACCTAAAAAACGCCATTTAGCTGATATGAAACAATTTTTTCAGCCATATATTTATGATCCGGTTTCGTCATGTAAGTAATACGCACAAACCTTTAAAGTGTTGTCTGCGATGTCATTGCCACTCAACAAGACGATGCTGTACACATTTGTGTTTGTCTTCCTTTGTCTCTTCTGCAATCAAGGCTGCGCCTCTCCAACGGGTAAAGCAAAATGATTCTGTGCTGAATTCTTATTCTTCGACGCTTCTTGTTGCTTTAGGACGGTACGTTCGTCAATGGGGTGATGGAATGATGAATGGTCCTTTTGGAGGTGGTTTCGGTCCTGGTGGCGGCGGTTTTGGCCCTGACGGAGGTTTCGGACCTGGTGGCGGCGGCTTTGGTCCTGAAGGAGGCGGTTTCGGTCCTGGTGGCGGCGGCTTCGGTCCAGGCGGAGGCTTTGGTCCTGGTGGCGGCGGCTTTGGCCCTGAAGGAGGCGGTTTCGGTCCTGGTGGCGGCGGCTTTGGCCCTGACGGAGGCGGCTTCGGTCCTGGTGGCGGCGGCTTTATTCCTGGCGCAGGTGGATTCTAACGAAACAGACTAAACACGTCGACAAAAACCGGTTGCACTCAGATGCGACATGCTCTTCGTTGGTGTCAGAGCAAATGAAGCTCATGTTGCATTTAAAAGTTTCATAATTGTTTTGAGTTTAATAAACTTCAAGCGAATGGTGCTGTTGTGAAAATGAACCTACGGCTTATTAAAATGTTTCAGCACTGTTTACAGTTTCGGTCTTTACGTGTCACTTATTTATTTGAGATTTTTATCCTTCATCATAAGAGCTGTCACGCGTTTCTAATCAAATACCTTGTGGATCAGTAGTTGGATGGTGTAATTTCATCGTTAAACATACAGACATGGCAGACTTACTAACTTTGACTGAAATCTTTCATCTTTCAATAAAATTTGATCGTAGCTAAATTTCAAATACTCGGTACTTACTGTTTATTGATTGAAACTCTCTTTACATGTTTCTGACGTTTCAGTGAGTAGCAGAACGGTGGAAAAGTTCTGCTAACGACCAGTACCAATAAATTTATTTTTTTTGACGATTTACATGGCATCGATGTGTAACTAAAGAATTAGACGTTGTTAAGTGAATAATGAATATTCATTCTCATTTTCGTTGATAAACACTGAACACCCTTACTATGCACCAAAATGTTCGTCAATAATTGACCTCAACGAAGAAGATATGATATAAACTGAATGTGATAAACTCATTAACCATCAAATGTATAAGCGAATGTATGAAATGCTATTCATAACCGGTTCTTTGTCGACTTGATGCAAAGCATATGAAATTATACGTAATTAATATTGTTGTCCTAAATGTATTTAGCTGCATCGTACAATTTTTCCCTTACTTCTTTTATATCCTTCTTGTTGCTGTCTGTTCACATCGTCTCCTTTTGCCGCTTGCATAAATATAACGTTTCTAGTTCGTGACGTCTGCTACTTTCGCAGCTTCTTAGCACTTTCGCTCTGATGCCTCAGTTGCTGCATCAAAGAAGAAAATATTCTCCTGGTCTGCCTGTGCGACAACCTTTTCCATTTTGAACTTGCTTGTGCTTTCGAGAAGCTTCGCACAGGCAGTTGCATTGTTTTAAATCAAGACCATTGGGTTTACGTTCCTTTCGCCGATTCCGCTATGAAAAAGATACGTTCTTAGTTGAAATCCGTTTCGAAACCGATGAACTCTAAACGGTGAGGAAGCTGGCATGCGTTTCTTGTCTGAATCACTTGTTTTACAAGCTGGAGATGAACCATCCTACTGAATCCACCTCACGTCACGCTTTCTTGCTTTGCTAGGCAGTGTGAGCTTTCCAAGTATTCTTGAACTGTCAAAGGGCATTGGTGAGATCCTTGATGAACATCCGGTAGATGATTGGAACAAACAGATCGCCAAATTCTCCCGTCTTTCCTCTTATGGAGTAACCACATAACCGATGCGACTGTTCAATCGTCTCGAATTTTCGGTTCGCGCTAATTTGATGGTCAGTGCTTCACCTCGTAATTCCACGGGTTACATTTTAATGCTGTCTTGTCCAGATGCCCTTCCCGGTTTGACCGACGGATTGCATGTCGTACTTCTTGTGGCAAGATATCTGGAATTTTCACAACTCAATATTTTATCGTCACCAAGGTTTAGCTGCCTTCATCTTTGTATAGTTGTCTATAAAAATCTTCCATTCCATTTACAATCTTCCGCCTATTCTTGAAATCAGTCCCGTTTCCTTCTGAGAGCTAAAAATTGTCCTTTCCTGCCCATCAATCTTCAGTTCAATTTCTTCTTGCTTCGATTGTTCTCAATCGTTTTCTTTACTAGTTTGCAGTTGAATGCTCAGCTTTTTTCTTTAACTCGCTTCCTTAAAGTTTGTGAAGTTCAACTTATTCGATCTGTGATTTATGATTTGCTGTTTTATCCATTTCTTTTCGTTTCTTCAAGAATCATTTTGTTGCCTTTGTAATTTTTCTGTCTGCATTGTTCGGAAGACGTTCTCTTCCGTTCCAGCAACTGTTTTCGTTACATCCGTATGCTTTACGTCAATATCCTTTGTTTCTCCGTCTTCTTCTTGCATTCCATGGCAGACATCCAATCGGATATTTAATTTGAGTCTTTGCCCTGGAATACTATCATGGTTTGTTGTAGGATTATCCGCAACTGCAAAAGGACTGCAAGAAATTAGTATCTCCAAATAGCAGTTTTACCTGTGTCATTACCTAGGCTATAATCCTTAACGTAATAAAATAAAATAAAAGATACTGGGTAAAAGCTTTCACAAAATTACAACCCCCTATAGCTCAGAAGTTCTAATATCTGGTAATTTAGCACGTATTCATAATACACTAAATGCATGCGTTCTAGAAAAAGTGTTTTTCATAAACTGGAAATCAGACTCATGATTAACGTCTTATCGATAGTCTCTAAATATCATCTGAATGAACATGTATCTAGACGATCCTTCGTGAAACGCTGTGCCTTAGGGCTTGAATTCATCTGCAGCATGCGACAGATTATCGCAACATGAATCAACCCCTATCAGCTTAATCATCGAAACGATTCGTCACTGTAAGCCAATCAGTTTCGATCACCGCTTGCCCTTTCGAGTCACGGAGGCAGACGCCGACGCTTCAGATTTTGCCCAAACAGTTCCGAATCCAGTGCCAGTGTTGGCGCTTCAGCAAAAGAGTATACAAGTATGGATCGGAGTGTGTACGGCACTTGTCAGAGATCCTTTTTGGCTTTCCCCGGGTATGTGGTGGCTGTTTCATCTCCCTTTATGGAAGGCATTTGTACCACGTGCGCAAACCACCACCTCAGTTGTGACTTCTCTGTCTAGAGAAGCTGCGGTTGTGCAGCAAGAGGCTCTGTCAGACATCTGTACTCGGGACCATGTAGTAGCCATTCATTCCAGACAGTCCGTTTCATCCCGTTGTACCCGAAATCAAAGTTGTTGTTCAGTCATGGCTCACAGGTGAAGACAATGGATAAGTATCGAACTGAAGAGGCCATAATCCGGGCGAACGTTTAAAGGCAGAATAGTTCAGCGCACATATTCGAACGTTGAATTTCCCATCTTACTCATATTTTTTGATCATTTAAAGTGCAGTAACCTTTAAATATCTTTAATTATTAAAATATTTGTGATAGACGCAGTGGCCGAAACCATCTGTCAAGATCCAAAGAAATGGAAAGCATAAATAAACCCATCGCACACGTGCTGCTCAAGTCGGAAAAGGGCAGACTAAACAGTACGACTGTCTGATGTCCGGTGTTCTTCAGCAATGACAAATTGGCATCTAATAGCCAGCAAACGCCCAATTGAAATACATTGGCTCTATGAGTCAGTGAGTTAGCTAAATTGACTTGAGTGAACCGTAAGGCGCCTATGATAAGTTGCCAAAATCTGTACTCAGCGAATGAACAAATGCTCAGCAATAAATCATGCAATGAAAAAATTGATCCCTATCAGACAGACAAGAATCTGGTTCAAAAACGCTTTTCTTCCTTCGTGGCAACGATCAGACGTCGGACAGCGAACAGAAACGGAACGATTGACTTTCGGTGGGCCTTAGTCCCACCTGCAAGGGATGTCCACAAACCTTGCGCTTGGCCATCTCGAGAGTTACCGCCGGAAATACTCGTGAGTTTGGTCCGTTCGAATCGGACTGTCCAACACGGTAGTTGTCATTATCATGGTTTATCATATCACCATCTGGTTAGGATGCGTTCATACTCGTCAGCGTTGTATTTACGGAGTCAAGGAGTTTTTGAATGCTCCGGATGCGACGCGGTTATTTTCTTTGGAGACAGTTTGGTTTGTGTCCCATTGAACAGCTCTGTTGATCCTCTTCAGAGAACTGGAACTTATCCGATCAGTTTCCACCTCAGGTCGAGTTGGTCCGAGTTATCATGCCCCGCCAAGTGACTCAATTTTTCCGGGACGATGAAGGCGATAACGAAAGAAGTTTTCCGAGCTGAGGATGCTATCACTGTCCTCGAGATGAAAACAAGTGTCATATAACATATCACAGCAGCGTTTCTGAAAAGCAGCATAACGAGAGACGTCTGGAGCTCATCGCATTTAGGTAGGATTACGCCGTAAGTGCTAGAAATTGTTGCTGGAGGATGAGGGTTTTGGTGAGTGCTCTTTGCCATCCTCTTCTTCTCCCACGTTTGGTCCTCCAATTACCTCCACAGTCTGATAAAGGAGGAATTCAAAAGGCGGGAAGACGTTCAGGGATTCGCGAATGCTGCAATTAAATGCGTACGATGAAATCAACATAGACACCAAGACTTGGTTATGGTGATCCGCGCTAATTACGAAAGAGCATCATTCGATCGCCACTGCTTTTGTTCGATCATGCATCTTTAAACTTTGATCCGTTACCTATTCATTTGATATCATCATGGCTTGCATTTTCAAGAGAGTTTATCAAATATGAAGTATATAATTTGAACCTTGTTCCGTTATCCTGATAGGTGCTCTCATTCCATAATTAGCAACGCGGAGTCCAGAAAAACGTTTGTTTACCGGTTGCACCGTTTCGACCTGGATGACATCAGTCATCATCATGAGAGTAAGAAAGTAAATACTGCTATTTGGTGATAAAATGAGAGAAGACAAAAATTAATGGCAAATTCATCGAGCAGTGAAGAGGCAACAGCTGAGGAACAAAGTACAGCTGCTACTGCGACAAAAGTCGGCAAAATCTGCGTAAGCGCTCTTGCAGTAGTGGATGATATCGCATTGTTGACAGAAACAATCGAAACTGCGACATCACTGTTCCGATTTCTGAAGCAAAGGCCTTCTGAATTAAGTTTCTCAATTAATTTAAAAAAAAATATGAAGCCGATGGAAGTTTGTTAAACCCAGACAAATGTGCATCTGACCGAAGTTGAGGAAAAAGTACCAGAACTTCTGTGTTGTGGGAATATATTGGCTGTGGATGAACATGTGACAAACAAGGCACTACAAGGCACTGTTCGCTGGTCTCTTCGTCGAGAACAAAGTTACTCAAACTCT